GATCTGAACGCAAAACACCAAGCTTGGGGCAACGGTCGGAGCAATAGAAACGGCATCATCCTCAATGAAGACCTGCAAGAGGACCACTATACCATCTTGGCCCCGGACTCTCCCACCCGGTTGAGTCGGTCTGGGGTCCATGCGACCATCGACATCTTCGTAAGCAACATGGGACACAACGTCTCGCAACCGGTGGCATTCCAGGAGCTGAGCTCGGACCACTACCCGGTGGTGGCCGAAGTTGGATCCTCGGTAAACCGATTCGAAGCTTCCCGGCGCAACTACCATCGAGTCAACTGGGCGCAATATCAACACTGCGTCGACACAACCATCGACTACGATGTCCAACCGGGGACGTCGGAAGATGTTGACCGGTGTCTACAAACCATCGAGGAGGCGATTTCCCGGGCCAGGGAACAACACGTGCCAGTATCCAGACAGGTGAGTAACACTCTGAGCCTTGACAGCCCTACCAAAGAACTCATTAGACTCCGTAACACCATTCGTAGGCAGTACCAGCGTACTGGCCTGCCTAACTTGAAGACCAATTGTAATCGATTAACAAAGATCATTCAGGCCAGGATGGTGGATCTCAGAAATAACGATTTTGCTAGTAAGATCCGCTCTCTCCCAGATTGTGCTAAGCCGTTCTGGAAACTTACAAAAATTCTTAAAAACAAGCCTAGGCCCATTCCCCCACTGACCCCACTGGATCGTCCCGGCGATCCAGTGGTTCATCTGATAACTCCTGAAGAGAAGCCTGCCGCGATAGGTCAACACTTCGTCAGCTCCCATAATCTCGGACAAAACATCGTCAGCCCTCATGAATCTGAGGTTGCTGAAAATGAACCAATCTTCTTCAGATTCCTAACATTTTTCCAGAGGAATCCGAGATTACGGCTGACGAACTGTTGGCCTATATCAAATCATCTAAAAACATGAAGGCCCCAGGTTTCGACAACATCCTGAATCTGGAACTCAAACACTTGAGTTCCAGATTCTACAACCATCTGGCACTGATTTTTAATCAGTGCCTCAGACTTGGCTACTTCCCCTCGTGTTGGAAGTCAGCTAAAGTCATACCCATCCGGAAACCTGGGAAGGATCCGTCCTCTCCTTCAAGTTATCGACCAATCAGTTTTCTCTCAGGGTTATCAAAACTGTTCGAAAGAGCACTGTACCACCGGCTCCTAACATCTGCCGATGAAAACAACTTGTTACTCGAGGAACAGTTTGGTTTTCGGAAAGGTCGTTCGACCGTCCACCAGCTGACTCGAGTAACAAACATTCTCAGACAGAATAAGTCTGTTTCGAAAACATCTGCCATGGCGTTGTTGGACGTTGAAAAAGCATTCGACGATGTCTGGCATGATGGCCTGGTGTTCAAATTACAGCAGTACGGTCTTCCAATCTTCCTAGTGAAGATCATAAACAACTATCTATCAGACAGAACGTTCCGAGTCTCTCTGAATGGCATCTCATCGGATGCTTTCAACATCGGTGCCGGGGTTCCACAAGGAAGCATTCTTGGCCCCATCCTATTCAACCTATTCACCTCCGATATGCTGGCTCTCCCTGATGGTGGATCGTTGTCTCTGTTCGCAGATGACACATCCATCGTCTACAAGGGTTGGGTCATCGGAGCTCTGACTGCCAAACTTCAGAGAGGCCTAGACGTCCTGTCTGAATACTTCAACAGCTGGAAGATCCGTATCAACGCGGCAAAGACCCAGGTCATTATTTTTCCACACTCTAAATCTCTCAGACTTGTTCCGTCGGAGAATAACAAGATCTGCCTGAACGGCACAGTGGTGGAATGGTCCAAAGCGGTCGTGTACCTCGGGCTAACACTAGACATCAAGCTTCTTTGCGAAAACCAAGTGCATCATCTTGACAAGATCGTTGTATCCACTTATCAACAGGAAGTCAAGCCTGTCCCTGAAAAATAAGCTTGCTGTCTACAAACAAATCATCCTTCCTGTAATCGAGTACGGTATGCCAATCTGGGAGAGTTGCGCAAAATGCCATCACCTTAAACTCCAAAGGATCCAGAACAAGATCCTAAGGATGGTCCTAAACAGTCCCCCGCGAACTGGAAATTCTGAGATTCACCTCCTGGCTGGAATTCAGACATTAGAAGAACGGAGAGTATTCATCCTGGAAAGGTTCAGAGCCACCTGTCTGAGATAAAATCATCAGATCATACGTGTTCTAGCATGTTAGGTTAAGTTATACTCGTAGTTAGGTAGGTTATCACTTTTTTCAATTCAAATAAAACAAATCCCCAAAGGGGTATTCTGTAAACTAGTTGAAACCGAACGCAAATATTAAATTAGAATATCAAATTAAACAAAGATGAAGAGCCAAGTAGGCTAATCAATTAAAATGATACATCAATGTACTACCATAATCAACAGAAATAAACATAATTTTACTGAAGTAATGAAATTTCAATTTAATTCCACTTAATTATTTTTGGTATCCATGACAGATACGTATTTCGACTACAATGTGCAGTCTTCATCAGTGTCATTCCCACTAAAGAACTTATCAAAATCTAACCCCCTTAAGTACTCATCCCCTAGGTAAAAAAGTCAAGATCATAGGTATAAAAATGAAACTACAATGTGTTGAATCGGAACCTACCTAACTAATAAAAACCAAAGATTTAAGTAAGCTAAAGGACTTTTTTACCTAGGGGATGAGTACTTAAGGGGGTTAGATTTTGATAAGTTCTTTAGTGGGAATGACACTGATGAAGACTGCACATTGTAGTCGAAATACGTATCTGTCATGGATACCAAAATTAATTAAGTGGAATTAAATGGAAGATAACCTTTTTTGCTGTTTTATTTTACTACTAAGTTTTCTTCCTCATTTACCATCGAACTACAGACGGATAAGCGTCAGACACGACGTATGTATGAGTGGAACAGCACACATCGCACCAATAGGAAGACGACGGACGACGACGAAAACACCCACATCGACCGGAGGAAAGGCTTCCCGCAATAAGGCAGCATGACTAGGCCGCCGTCATACACTCGGCATCGACTTGCACTGGTGTGGCCACCATTTGAAAAACAACCGGCCCTTTTTAGGGCCACCAATTCAAAAAAGGAAAGAGTTATAGTACGTTCAGACCTGGCACAGACCCTTCTACTTTTTTTAAGTTAATGCAAATTCAGAGACGATCACTGAACTTCGGAGAATTTCAAAGCCCCTTGGATATGTTTACAAGATTTCAGATTGATTAATTATTCAGAAGACCTTCTGCTGATCTTTCAGAGATTATTCAAATAACAAATAATTCAAAACTGTTATCAGGGTTAGGTGATTGTCGCTCCCAAGACGGGTGGTCATCATTAGTTACAAAGAATTATATTCTTACAGTTATTGATTATTGAAGAATCAAAGTGTCGATTGACTCACAGATGGCGAGTGGGTGAAAATGGTAATGATGTTTTGATATCTGTCAAATTGCATGACATTTTTTTAAGTACGTCATCATCGTTTGTATTTACAGATTTGAAAACTAGGAGTCGCATGACCAGTTTTGGCTTTGCTTTGGTTAGCTAATAGCAAATTCTTATTACAAAGAGGGGATTTTTTTCATTCGGCATACTCTCATCGGTAGTTATTGAATGTTTCTTAATCATCTTTAGAATGTTCCATCTTAGGATCATTTTTTAAGGGTACGTATGTGTAGTCTTCAAAAATATAGGCAATTGAAGGGTGCTCCTCTTGCCCCGTTCTACCCTATTGTTTTATAATTTAAATGCCAATACATTATTATACAGATATCATCAAACGTGTTACCAGTTTCGAAGGAGTTTGAAATGTTAACCATACAGCATAAAAAAAAACACATATTACACATATAGTATCAACAATCAACAAATTTTGAAAAGCTGGGGGAGGACATATGTTTTGTTCCTGCCGGGTATTAAATTTCATGATATAATCTCACTTTCAAGCTGAGCTAGTTTCAAAGGTCAATATGATTTTATTAATTTTTTCGTGTGGTATTTTACACAACGCGAGTGCTCGAGGGTTAAGAATGTTTTTCAAAACTTTCCTCATAAATATCTCCTGTCCAGTTCAATGAATTTTTGATTATCACCATACCACCATAGAATCAATAAATACGCAACTTTCCGCTAATCAATTTTCGCAACTTAGTAGGCACTGAGTGAGTAATTGCAGCCGAAGCGAACTGAATGAATGAACCTGCCTGCTGCTGCTCTGCTATCGCCTCGTACCACGAGGGCGAACGAATAACGCATGGACTACTACTGTGCGCCGGTGCCGGTGAGTGCGAGCACGGTTCATCATCAGTATCATTCGAGCCGGTAGCGCGGTCGGTCGGATACGCACCGTTCTCCTTCATCCACCAACAACAAAGCTTGACCGGTTAATCGGTTCCGGAACGTGACCACGGTTCGCGCCCGCGTGTGTTCGTATTTGCATCATCGAATGATTAGGAATGGGGGAACACATGTGCCTCTAGACCACCCCGTCAAGTCCAGCGTGGTCAAAGTACGTATATCTGCGAGTGATTAGATTTTTTATGTATTAGCTGGGTCTGTTGTTTTTGCTCATGAGCAGTGTCATAATCGTGTGGTAGCCTCAGTTTTTGGGGGTAGAGTTTTCGCAATTACATCGGCGAAAAAGAAAAGAAGACAAAAATTGCAGAGTGAACTGTGATTGAAGTACGTACGTACATAAGCCTACAGATATGAAGCCCCATACAGAGTAAGGTACAAGCCGGTACGGTACCACTCTTCTTCTGCAACGTGAGTCATTTTTTGGCTTCGCGTAAATTATACGTGCTTTGCGAGTAAGGTCAGCTATCGATCCGCGACGTCGTCGTCGCGTTGACTTTCTGAGTTTGATTGAAGTGTTGAGAGTTGATTGAAACTTTTCGAGGAATAGTTTATCGCCGTGCTGATAAGGGGAACATTGAATCATCACCGGTCGGCGACCACCCATGTTCAGCGTAAAAATCGAAGTTCACATCGCGATTCTAATTGCGCCAGAGTAATTACACATGGTTGCTGCAGCAACGGTCAGGCATACTGAAAAGAGGGGGATTCGCGTGCCGAGAGCACAACGGGTCACAAACAAAACAATGAAGCCATTTGTTGTTCGGATTCTATTGGAAGGCGTGAAGATAGGCAATTATGTATGTGGAACACACTGCACTGCATTGGCGGAGACTTGAAATGGTGCAAATTGGTCTCAATTGGTCCAGCCGTGTCGCGACGTACGCAGATATGGATAGATAGCAGATGCAAAGGAAACATTTATGTAGCAATTCAAATCGCTACAAATGGATACTTGCTTGGTGGCAAACGCAGTGCAATTGTATCGCTTTCTCACCATGAAGAAAAACAGAACAAAACTAGTGTTCACAGATTAATCGTATCAGATAGTCGTAAATTTGTTTACCATCGTTTAGAATTTCCCATTCTCTGTTTTCGTTACAGATAATCGCCAATAATCCCATTTATTAGGAACCAAAGTGAGAACACATGCGAAACCCGCTTCGTGGGTTATCGCGAGTGACTGGAACAAGAAAAACACACGCAAATCGCTGCCTAGAAGAGAGATTAGTCCCGCTTTAAAACATAGCGCCTCACACATGGCCTTGCTTCCGGCCGGAGGCAACCAGCGGGGCGTACTGCGAAGCACTATCAGTCAGTCAGTCAGTTAGAAAGCACGATGAAAATATTCTTCCGCAAAAAGTGCGGCTTCCTGCTGATCCTGGTGTTCGGGTTGCTGTTCATCTTTTGGAACAACGTGTATCTGTTTCACGAGCCGCAGATCAAGCGAAAGGTGGACGACCTAAATCAAACCGGCAGTTTGGCGCTGATCTACAGCAATTGGAACGACCTGAGCAGGGATGCCACAGGCATCGGAAGGGGTGGCAATTCCAGTTCTCATACCGAGTCGCCTTTGCCGATCAACAACAAAAGCAGCACCTACCAGCGGCATTACTTCAATGTGGAGCTGAGCAATCGAATTGGCGTCGATCGAGCACTGCCCGACACGCGACACGCAAAGTAAGTAGCTGTATATGCCAATCGCTAGTGCCTTTGTCCGTGGTTTGATTTTTGACCAATTATACCGCTTCTACTTTAATCTCAGTCCTGAAAAAAAAAAAAAAAAAGTGATGAAGCAACTCATGATGGAGCTATTTCTGCCGTAGTAAAGAAAAACGTTTTCGTGCGAATTAGGTGCCTGCAAAGAAAAATTTGAATCAATAAGCTAAGACTGCATGCTTTTGTGAGATTGAACAAGGTCGGCACAGTCGTATAAATGGAGCTTACGCTAAGAAGTAAAGGGTGTATTCGTAAAAAAAAGTGCCACACAAATATGTCTTTATCTCCTGAACCACGATAGGTAGAAATCTATAAAATTAAGGGAAATTTGTCCTGTGTATTGTTTGCATGTGCCAAGTTCGTTTCCATACATTGAGCACATATCATTTTATAATCGAAATAAGAAAAAGTGCTCGAGCCGATTTTGTACAATAACAATAAAAATTGTATTGTTGCCCACAGATGGATCGCTAGAAAGCCTAGAATCGTTAACTGCTACGTATCGCGATTTTCATGTCTTTGAATTTGTCCTCATTTAGGATGAGTACAGAAACTTCAATACCGCCATATTTTTCTTTGATTTTTTAGCTAGTGAAGGTACCATGTGCAGTTAAGATTTTTCTTCTTCAGATAGTTGTACTAATTTAACTTAAAATCAGGTGAAAAAAAATTATTTTATTTCACCGATGCGGGGTGCCTAACTCTACGAACTATCTTGCGCAAGTTCCCAATTCTGCGCAGTTTTATTCCTAATTCTAGGCTCCTAAAAATAGAGATAAATGTTTGTGTCACGACGAGACCCCCCATCGCAATTCATCTGTGGCCGGCAGAGACAGATCGATCTACAGTGGCCGTGACGGACGATCTTCTGTCAACGACGGCACAAACAGAGAAAAACACTGAAGAGGCTGAATTTATAAAGAGACTTACTTACCTTACCAATCACGGCTTTGTTGTCCTCCTCTGCTGTCCGAAGAAGTCGTCTCCACTCTACTCGATCCATGGCCACAGTTCGCCAGCCTCGTAGTCTGCGAAGGGTCCGCAGGTCACCTTCTGCTTGGTCGATCCACCTTGCCTGCGCGCCTCTTCTTCTTTTTTCTGTTGGGTCGCTTTCTAGAACCATTTTCACTGGGTCGTCGTGCGGCATTCTTACGACGTGCCCAGCCCACCGTAGTTGCCCAATTTTTGCAATGTGGACAATGGATGGTTCTCCCAGCAGCTGGTGCAATTCGTGGTTCATTCGCCTCCTCCACGTTCCGTCATCCATCAGCACTCCACCGTAGATGGTACGCAACACCTTCCGTTCGAAAACACCAAGGGCGCGTTGGTCCTCCACGAGCATAGTCCAGGTCTCGTGGCCGTAGAGGACCACCGGTCTAATCAGCGTCTTGTAGCCAGTCAACTTCGTGCGGCGGCGAATTTTTTTTCGACCGGAGCGTCCTCCAGAGTCCAAAGTAGGCACGATTCCCTGCCATAATGCGTCTTTGAATTTCTCTGCTGGTATCATTTTCGGTGGTCACCAGTGAGCCCAAATACACGAACTCATCGACCACCTCGATTTCGTCACCGTCAATCTGAACTCGGGGTGGGAGGCTAACATTGTCTTCCCTAGAACCTCTTCCTTTCATGTATTTTGTCTTTGATGCGTTGATGGCAATTCCAATCCGCCTAGCTTCAGCCTTCAGTCTGATGTACGTTTCCGCCATCATCTCAAAGTTCCGTGCCATAATGTCAATGTCATCGGCGAAGCCAAGGAGCTGGATGGACTTCCTGAATATCGTGCCACTCGTGTCTATCCCAGCTCTTCTGATCACACCTTCTAACGCGATGTTGAACAGCAGACACGAGATTCAAAGGGACTCAAGAGTGTCCCCGATACTCGAACAACGCACATCACTCGATCCATCGCCGCCTTGACCAATCGCGTCAGTTTATCCGGAAATCCGTACTCGTGCATAATCTGCCATAGCTGATCTCGATCGATTGTGTCGTATGCGGATTTGAAATCGATGAACAAATGATGTGTGGGCACGTTGTATTCGCGGAATTTCTGCAGAACCTGCCGAATCGCGAAAATTTGGTCCGTGGTAGCGTGGGCACCCATGAATCCCGCCTGGTATTGCCCCACGAGCTCTCTTGCAAATGGTGGCAGACGGCGGCATAGAATTTGGGAGAGTACCTTGTAGGCGGCGCTCAGCAGTGTGATCGCGCGGTAGTTGCAGCAATCCAACTTGTCGCCCTTTTTGTAGATTGGGCATACGACACCTTCCATCCACTCCTCCGGTAATATCTCCTCCTCCCAAATCTTGGCAATTACCCAGTGCAGCGCTCTAGCCAGTGCTTCACCACCGTATTTTAATAGCTCACTTGGTAGTTGATCTACACCAGTTGCTTTGTTGTTCTTCAGCCGACCGATCTCCTCCTCAACTTCTTGAAGATCAGGGGCCAGTAGCCTGTCGTCTTCTGCGCGTTCTCCAAGGTCTGTTGCCGTGCCACCTTCGTTTTCTGCTGCTTCACCGTTGAGGTGCTCGCCATAGTGGCTCAATCACCTCACACTCGTTCGTGAGAAGGTTACCGTCCAAGACCTTGCTTATATCGGCTTGCGGCACATAGCCTTTGCGCGAACTATTTAGCTTCTCATGGAGCTTCCGTGTGTCGTTTACGCGGTACAGATTTTCTATCGTCTCGCGATCTCGGTCTTCCTGCTGATGCTTCTTCCTTCGGAAAACCGAGTTTTGTCTGTTCCGCGCTTGTCTGTATCGCTCCACATTCAATCTCGTGCGGTGTTGCAGCATTCTCGCCCGTGCTGCATTCTTCTCCTCTACTAACAGTTTGCATTCGCCGTCAAACCAGTCATTTCTTCGGTCCGGGATTGCAGTACCTAGTGCCGCTGCAGCAGTACTACCTATGGCTGAACGGATGTCCCTCCAGCCATCTTCAAAAGAAGCTGCGCCAAGCTGCGCCAAGCTGCTCTTCCGTGGGTAGTGCAACTTCCAGCTGCTGCGCGTAGTCCTGGGCAACTCCGGCGTCCCGTAGTTGCTCAATGTTGGGTCGCGGCGTTCGACTTCGACGTGTGTTATGCACCGTCGAGAGTTTTGAGCGCATGCATACTGCAACTAGGTAGTGGTCCGAATCTATGTTCGCACTGCGGTACGTGTGGTCGTTGATAATGTCGGAAAAGAATTTCCCGTCGATTAGAACGTGATCGATTTGGTTTTCTGTGTGTTGGTCAGGTGATCTCCAGGTGGCTTTGTGGATATCCTTGCGGGGGAAAAAGGTACTTCGAACTACCATACCCCGAGAGGCTGCAAAGTTCACGCATCGTTAGCCTTGTCGTTCGATACGGCATGCAGGCTGTTTGGCCCGATTGCCGATCTATACATTGCCTCCCGTCCTACCTGAGCGTTAATGTCGCCGATGACGATTTTGACGTCCCGTTGCGTCCTCAACTTGCACATCCTCGCGTTGATTGGCTGCCAACCAATCACGCGTTGGCGCATCTTACCCAGCACTACAAAGCCGGTTCCCAGCTCGTTGGTGGTGCCACAGCTCTGGTAGAAAGTAGAAACTCGATGCCCGCTTTTCCATACCTTTTGTCCCGTCCAGCAAAGTTCCTGCAGTGCTACGACTTCGAAGAGACGACATGTCAAAATTAGAGCAATCGATTATCTGTCAAAGTCATAGGAAAAGTTATTCCAATCGAGCAGAAGACCTGTCAAATGGATAAGATGTCGCCTCCTTACAAAATTCAGCCTCTTAAAGAAAAACCTAAACATCTACGTGGTGCGGAATCACTTTAAATGGTTGTCAAAAAATACAACGCTCAGGAACAACACGAAGGCTTACGTCCCTCAAACAGATTCGTTCGAAAGATAAAGTATTAGGATCGATTAGCAGGCAGCTATTAGCGGGCAGGAAAACGAACCGATCTGTTCAAGAGTACGAAAACTAATGACATATATTTCTTATCTATCTACATACAGCCTACTGTGATCGAATGATAGGTGCAGCTTCAATCATGGGTTGCTTGTACTCCTTCACTCCTCCTCTAGCTGTATCGATTGAAGTCCCATCTCTTTCCGGCAGGTCTCTAGCTTCACTCTCGCCAGTGGTTTGGTCTAGGCGTAGGCGATCATGGACCTTACCAAGTCTCGGATGAAGTTGAACCGCGTGTCGATGTGCTTGGTTCTTCGACTTTCTCCTTCAGCTCGCAGCATTGCTATGCAGCTCGGATTATCTTCGCAGACAACGATCGGCCCGGCAGCTTTCTCACCAACATCCTTCATTAGCTTCTGCAACCAGCGCAACTCCCGGCAGGCCTTGGCTAGGGCAACGTATTCCGCCTCGGTAAACGAAAGGGTTACACACTGTTGCTTCCGAGCAACCCAGGAAATCGATCCACCTAGATGGAAAACAAAGCCCGAGTTTGATTTGCGCATCAGCATCCACGTATGCTTGCAGTTGGCGAGGTCCACCGAGCTCCAGTTTCAAATCCGCAGTCGACATCAGGTACCGCAGAGTCCGCTTGGCTTCGGTTCAGTCAGCCTGGCTAGGGTTGCTTTCCTTGCACCCCAGAATGGTCGCACTGATGGCAATATTGGGCCACGTGTTTGCTTTGGGTAACCTGGGTCCATTGGTATACGGGATGGTTTGGCGTTTGCTTGTCCAAATCTTGCAGCGATTCTACGGATATACGAGTCCATCCTGTCCTCGCTCAATACGAAAACCAAGGTAGTTGCTAACATCTCCGAGGGTGGTTATCTTGAAGTGCTTCTTCAGTATCGCTTCGATTCTTCTGTACTCCGCTTCATCCCGGCAAGCTATAAACATGTCGTCCACGTTAAGCAGAACAAATGACGAACGACCATGCTTCGTCCTCACGAACAGACAAGGATCTGCTTCCGATGGCACGTACCCCAAGCTTTGCAGTACTTTGGTGATTCGTGGATTCCATAATCGTCCTGCCTGCTTCAGCCCGTACAAACTTTTTCACAGCAGGCACACGTCGCTCTTCGTACCGGTCGAGAATACAGGCGGCTGCCTCATGTAGATGGTTTCGGCTAGGTCCCCGTACAGGTAGGCCGATTTTACGTCCACGTGCTTCACGAGTAGCTTCCTCCTAGCGGCAATCAACAGCAGCGTGCGAAAGGTAGTCTGCTTCGCGACGGGGGCAAAAATGAGCGACAAGTCTTGCCTTGTATTGGGTGACATTACCGTCACCGCCCATCTTCCTTTTATACACCCATTTACAGCCAACAGGTTTGCGATCGTTGGGCAAAGGAACGACCTTCCAAGTGCCATTTTCGTGCAAGGATTGGATCTCCTCCTCCATAGCGCACTTCCACAAATCTCGCTCCGGGCACTTCATCGCCTCTTCGAACGAACGGGGCTCGCAGTACTCCTGGACAGTCAAGAACCTCTGTGGCGCGACGCGACTCCTTTGTTCGCGCGGCTGGATCGGCGAACGTTTGTGGTAGTGCCAAACTCCTCCTGTCCCTCGGTAGCGTGCTCGGTAGCCTGTGGTACTGCGTCACCTGGACGGATTGTGTCGTCCCGGTCATCTTCGTCGTTGGATGTGGCAGTTTCTAAACCGTTGAAGTCGCTGTATGCACCGTCGTCTTGATCATCATCGACCTCGGAGTCCGTTGCTACGGGAGCATCAGCATCGTCTTCCAACGGCTGTGCCACGAATGAATCGTCGCAGAAATTTCAGTAAAAGGATATGAAACGACACTTCCCTTGCGAAGGTTCGGTTTCCCGAACCTCCCGATGTGTCAGAAAGCGACAATATCTACTCGTGAGCATCTTGTGCGCTGAAACGGCAGAACTTATGGTGCAGCGAGTAGCCCACAAACAGCATCTTCTTGGATTTCGCCTCCAACTTCGAACGCTTCTCGGATGGAATCCACACGTAAGCCCACGAGCCGAAAATCTTGAGGTGACTGAGATCAGGCTTCTCTGCAGTCCAGAGCTCGTACAGTGTCTGCGATATGGGCTTGAACGATTTTGAAGGTATGTGGCCGTATTCACTGCTTCAGCCCAAAACTTGTACGGCAGCTGCGCGTCCAGAATCATGCAGCGGGCCATCTCCACCAAAGAACGATTCTTACGCTTCGAGACCCCGTTCTGCTGCTGTGGTAAACTGCTGGCTTATACCTTCTTGGTGGCAGAAACGGTCTAGGGCTTCATTCTGGTACTCACCGCCATTGTCTGACCGAATCACTTTGGGCGTTCTTCCGAAAAAAATCTTGACAAACTTCACGTACTCCTTGATCCGCTCAGTAACTTCCAACTTTTGAACGTAGACAGAACGCTGCAGAAGACATCTTCTTTTTTTCGTGCTGCTGCAGTCCTTCACAATGTACTCGTAGTTATGACACTCCTTACACACTTCGGTCCTTTCGAAACTAGCTTCAATTGGTTGCCGTAGTTCTGACTGCCGTTTTGCTGGTTACCTTGGTACTTGTTGCCAGATTACTATTACCTTTCGATAACACCGCCGCATCCATCGACGGAATTTGCACTTCTTGCAGCAGCTTCGTCTTTATGGCGTCGCCAGTGATTTTGATTCCGGAATTTTCCAGGGCCAGCAAGCAGGTCACCAATCCATTCATTCGAAATTTTAAGTCCCATTCCGTTGAGTTGATGAGCCGTGGAAATCACTCGATTTACGTACTCGCACATCGACGAACAGCTCATCAAATTGGTTTTCACCGGCTTGTAAAGGCGACCAACAATCCACCTAGATAGGCAGGAATCCTCCAACGCCTTCACCAAATTACTCCACACTTACTGCGCCTGCACATTCAATTGATGGCAATCGATGTCCGTCGGTGATTGGCACTAGATTGCGGAACAGAGACCGACGTTAAATAAAGGAAAAGAAAGAAATTCCTGCCGAGCAAAATCTAATCTCCTCTCTATCCCTTCACCTTCCAGCTGTAAGACCCGCGAGTTCCTAGTCTCACCAGGGCGCACCACATCTGTGATAATAACGTTCCACAACGAGGCCACCTCGACGCTGCTCCGGACCATCGCCAGCGTCCTGAAGCAAACTCCGGCCGACCTGCTGCGTGAAATCATCGTCATCGACGACTGCAGCACCGCGTTGGAGGACAATCTGGACTTCCTGAACCGAGTTCCGTTGGTGCGGTTCCATCGGAACTACGTACGGGAAGGTAAGAAGCATGCTGGGATGCCCCGGGGAGAACTTAGCCCCTCGATCACTGAAGCCAGGTTTGATTCGTTCCAGGAACATCGGAGTGGCCTACGCCACCGGAGATTACGTAATCTTTATGGACAGCCACTGCGAGGTGAACCGAGGTTGGTTGGAACCGCTGGTCGACCGGTTAGCGGTAGATTCGACGGTGGTGCTAAGCCCGATCATCGACATAATCGACGCGGACACTTTTGAGTATCGACCGAACTCGGCACGGTTGAGGGGCGGGTTCGATTGGAGTTTGCGGTTCCGTTGGCTTCCGGTTGCAGAGGAGGAATTGGAGCACCGAAAGCATGACGAATCGTTACCGTTCTTCAGTCCGGCTATCTCCGGCGGGGTGTTTATCGTTTCGAAGGCGCTCTTCCAACAGCTGGGTGGCTTCGATGGAGGACTGGAGATTTGGGGCGGCGAATCTTTGGAATTTTCGCTGAAATCGTGGCTTTGCGGTGCACACGTGGAAGTTGTTCCCTGCTCCCGGATAGGTCACGTGTTTCGACAAAAGCATCCGTACCGATTTCCTCAGGGGAGTGCAACTACTTATTTACGGTAAAGTATTAATTTGGTATTGCATGTTAGTGAAGTGAGTTTTACTTACATTGGGATTTTATTCAAACAGAAATACCAAGCGGATTGCGTCCGTGTGGATGGACGAGTTCCAGAACTTTTTCTACGAGACCCGACCGGAGGCGAATGCTCTGTCAGTGGGCTCTCTGCAGGACATGAAGGATCTGAAGCGGCGGTTGAACTGTCGCAAATTTAGCTGGTACCTACAGAATGTGTTCCTCGATCTGAAGCTGCCAAATGAGAACAACGCGGCCTTTGGACATCTGCGGCATGGCGAGCGGTGTCTGGACGTGAAACCAAAGTACAAGCGATCCCGGAAGCGTAGTCACCGTCAACAGTCGGCCAGGGGGAACGACGTCGTGCTGGTCGAGTGTAGCCGGGATGACGCGGACAGTGCCTCGAAGTGGTCGTTGAACAAGAAGAGCGGTCAACTGAGTACTGATTCGGGGGCCTGTTTGAGCGTGCGAGACGAGCTAGTGCAGTTGGAGCAGTGCGAGGATGCTGACGGGGATCAGCAGTCACAACGATGGGAACGGATAGGTGGGACGCTGGTACACAGTGAGACTGAAATGTGCCTAGAGAATCTGGTCAGGGCCGACGTGGGTGCGAGTGAGTGCAGGAGGGGGGCTCCTAGTCAGTTGTGGAATTTTTCCGTGGAAATACAGCATATGAGATGATATTTTTTAGGTAGAGTAATAAATTGTTTGAACTGTGAGTGTTTTGCGAATCTGTTCCGAAAAATATATATGTTTACATGAAGGACGGGGACTGGTGAGATTATTCAGCAGTTTATTATTAGATTAGCAGTTAAGTTATTCAAAAGTTTATTATTAGAGTTACACATTAAAATGAGCTGATAGCTCACGTTTGTCATTCATATTCAGTGCAGTGCAAGTTTTCCCGGTACTTACCCTTTACGCATTCACGAAGCATCACCATCGTCATCCAATGCCTCCTTCTTCCACTTCTGTACGTCTTTCTTCGAGGGCAACCGAAACCGGAACTCGTCGCTAAAATGGTCGTACACATTTTCGCCCAGGTTGTTCAGCTCTACAGCGAGTGTTTTCTCGTCTGCCTTCCACTGTCGTTCCGCCGAACCAGCAAACAATTCCATCCGCAGCATTGCCACCATCGTTGGATTGAGATACCGCTTGATGCCGTTGAACAATTGAACTTTGTTCATGTGAGGTCCCTTCTCCGCTTTTGGAGAGCTGTTACCGGAGGGTTCGGCTTGTGGTGCCGGTGTCGGCACCGGAACTGTTATAATTTGCGGTTCTGGGGGAGGCTTATTCAGAACATCTATGAGGATTTTTTTCAGCTCCTCGATTCCGGTCGATGCTTGTTCCAACTTTTCGACGTAGGATGGATCCGTAACGATTTGGACCACCGGAGACGCAGGTGGAGGTGGTAACTTCGGGGAAGCTGGTGGTTCTTTCATTTCCGGCTCAGATTTTTCCACTGAAACATCCGTCGACGAGGAAGGTGTAGCCACCGATGGGATTTCCTCTGCTACAGTTTCCTCTCTGTGTACCTCTGCTTTGGTGGGAGAATTCTTCGGTATTCGGTGAATCGAAAGCACCTGCATTTTCGATGGCCGGAGTGAATTGTTCCCGGATGGATTTTTACGTTTGATGACCACTTTACGAAGAACGGCATTGGACGGGGGCGTCATTGGAACAGTCTTTTTAGGCTTTTCGGCCAGTGACAGTTTAATCGGCACTGGACTCGAAGCTTTGTTCAGAATTTCCGGTGGCTCTTCGCAAACGGGAGTTATACTGAATTCTTCTTGATCCGAGTCGAGAAATTGAATCTACGCAAAAGAAAAGACGTTTATAAATTGTAGCAAATCATCTTCGCCTTTAGACCAAATTACCTCCATTCGAGTGGTCTGAGACTCCGATGGAGCAGAACCCGCATCACCATCGATGGAATCCTTGCCCGGCACCACCCACTCTTCCCGGTCGGTTATGGCGTTTGTTTCGATATTCCACACACGGCCATCGTCCAGGGTCTCCAACGTCGGAATGGCCGTTTTGACTAGCCCTTCCATGAGGTAGTTCATGAACATTCTATTCTCAAAATGGTCCTGACAAATGACTTTGTTCTTCAGTTTGCTCAGTGGGAGATTCTTGAACTCCAACTTATCGGCGTTGGATGCCCATATTTCCAGCCGATCCCAGTCTCGTATGGGGAAGTGGAAAAAGTGCATACCCGGTCGCGAACTGGTACTGTTCTCACAGTTCCGGAACGTGCACCGGCAGCCACCCATTTTTGCCGGATCAATTTTAAACACGGAATAACGCGAATTGGCACATGAAAACCGAAGAAAACAAGGTTTTTTTCTCCGTTGGAACGAAGAACGCAAACAACGCCAGTGCAAAGCAAATCGACTACTGTTTGTTTTTTTTTTTAAATATTTTTTGACAGTTCCACAACGCGCGGGTGCTTCCCATTACAGGGTGTATCTAAAGTTGTTGTTGGTAGCATTGAGTTTACGTTAGGAACGGTTTTGGTAGCAATTTTAAATTTATAATGCATCACTTGATGCTCCACGTGTAGGCACATTTTTTGACGATGAAGTGCATCTGCTGTTTGGAGAAATTTCGATAATTTATTTAGTCACTTCATTCGAGCAGTGTTAAATTACATATTCCGGGTAGAACAAATACCATAAGACCTTGTTCCACCTAGAAATAAATGACCTGATGAGATAATTTCACAGCTGAAATTTGCTCGTTGGTGCTTGCCCAAACAGTGCCAATGGGTGTGCCCAAGCTTGCCCTTGGTTTAGACCCAAGATTATCGCTATTTTACTTCGTGATTTTGAAAGTTTTCCAAGCCTAAGATGTCAAAAAAAGTGGTCTAGGAATATTTTCAAGCTCGACATTTTTTCAAAGGCCAGAAATTTCAAAAATATTTGATACCCGGTATCTTTCTGAGGAAGGCGACACATCTAAATCTCAATTCTAGATGCTCAAAAACTCTCACACTGGCGAATCAATATTCGAAAAATCTTCTTTCATTTCTCGCATCTACTTGCATCCCGCATCATCGTTTTGCAGGAAATCTTCATAATCGTCATCAATCTTCTTTCCACACCAAAACACAATCTTTTCTGCATCGTAGATAGAGTCGCCCCCTCGGTATCTTTAGTATTTGTCCAAACATCGAGACAAAATTCATATCACAGAATCTTGAGTTCCTTTATACCCCGTACAGACTATGGCTTATATCATGTAATATAGGCTGTCTTGCAATGAGCACTCATACATCTAGTTTTCACTGGAAATCCTATGTATGAGTGCTCATTGCAAGCCAGCCTATATTACATGATATAAGCCATAGTCTGTCCGGGGTATTAAATTGTATCGTTTTTTTTCGGACTTGTAATCCGGAATCAAAAAAATTCCAACTCCGGATTTTAGAAAAAAAAAAGTTATGTGACGTTTGATTCTTATGTCGTTAAATGCCGTCTTCAAACAGTCTCATGTAAAGAGCAGCTTGAATTGTTTTTTTTTTGGATCATGATCGATCCCATGCATTGTTTTTCTAGTAATCCATGATTTCAAACGATCCCACTCCTTGTGCAGAAGCATTGAATCAGTCATTAAATCCCAGTTTTGCGTTGCTATGCATGCCAAACAATCCTGTTTTCTGCATTTGTTATTTGTTAGTGGGTGGAGCTGGTGGAATTTTAAGTTCAACTGATTTATTCCACTGAAATTAGCTAGCCAGTTGATGTCTTTATTAATTCACCTAGACCTCGGCCAGGCCTCAGTAGGTTCGAAACCGAGCTCGAATCAAATAGAGGGAAACAGTCGAAAATGCATCCTGGGATAAAACGTCCCAAGCGGTTTTTCACAGGTATTTCATTCCAAATTCGTGAATTTGACAAACAGCAATTTGAACTTCTAGTAACCCACGGTGGGAGTTTGAGTTTCTATAATTATACCAACCCAGCGGTGGGAAATCGGGTTTTTCGGGTTGCTAAACTAAATAGAGCCCGATACGGGGCGTAATTTAACGACCGAAATGAGAACCAGCGGTGGAGATGCTTTGAGCAGCAGAAATCTTAAGAGGAAGAGGAGACCATACGGGGGCGATAACGAACCACTTTTCTATCAAACGCGAACCAGCTCGTGATTGGCCGATTTGAGCATGAGCATGATTGACCGCCCACGGTTGCTACTCTGTTATTGCCAGACCAGCTGTAATTACACAAAATAGACGATGCTTGGGACTAGTAATCATCCTCAATGTGTAAAAACTGGTGATCTAAAACTAGGCAATACCAGCGCCGGCCGCGCCCGAACACAGGTCAAGAAAGGAAGGGGTAGGAATGTGTTGACGTGACACTTGCTTTGATGGAAGCCGAGAACACCTCTGCACTTCCACGAGGAATCACTGGGATATTGGGTAATAGGGTTGGGTTTGCAGCAGGGTTCGTCTTGGTAAACGATAAGCTGAATTGATGTCCTAACAATCATATAACGCGAAGGAACTTGGGATTGAAACCACGGTCTTCTGCTCAGTAAGCAAAAACGTTTGCCACTAGGCAGACGAGCTCCTTTTTAATCATCGAGTTGCTGTTATTACCATGTAGTCATGTTAACAAATAAAACGATTGACGAATCTTGAATGTGGATGGGCTTGATATTAGACTCATGATGTTCTGCTCAGTAAGCAAAACCGGTTGCTCTAAGGCCACCGAGCCCCTCATATCCTATTATAGCGTTACTCAGGTTTTTATAACTATTCAAACCCGGCACCGACGACAACGAAAATTTTTACAAAATACACGATAAACAAGCGGTCTTACCATACATTTTTAATATGAAAGGACCTGGGACCGCGTTTTTCTGCTCAGTAAGCAAGCCACTGCAATCGACAATCTTTGAAATCCTAAAACTAAAAGCTACGAAAGAGTACTTAGGCCTTCATTAAGAACCACTTTCACGCGACGTTCAATGTTTCGATTTTCTCTTTGCGCATGGTTCAGGCAATTATAAGAAGCTATTTATGACCGACGTGAAGATTGTTTAAGACCTGGTTAAACAAGCTATTCAAATGAAATTACGTTCTCGAATTTCACTTGGCATGTATTGAACAACAGAAATACGCGATAATCCATATTTTCAGCGGTTGATGGTTAATTTTAAATATACTAACGGTACTGCCTACGACTACGACGGCGATTACGACAGCGACTACGATGGCGCCTACGACAACGACAACAGCGAATTTGTAACTTACCATTTGTCTAGGATAAACACCTTTGCCCGGCATCTTCACTGGTTCTTCATGTCCGCTATCTGTCACTGTTTTCAAAATATCTAATAGCAATCACCTTTGTTGTAATACTTAATGTATTTCCATGGTCATCTGGGATGAGGGTCGCATCTAGTGCTTTCCCTAGGAACGGTTCACGGCCACCAGCTACCGCCCGTTCAGTCTTGGGCGTATCCAGCTAGACATCCTTCAGCTTACTCACAATCTCCGACACTCAATCACAACAAACTGTACCGAAATCAGAACAGCTAAACTACTCGGTAAGTTTTTGGCATTTCTATTTAATTGTATTAAGCTATCTCACAGAGACCAGACGTCCAAGTTCGATCAGAAACTGTAAAGTTAAGTGGAAACGTTGCCGTTTAGTAGCGCTAGCATCTCCTGATTTCCTCTATAAATTTATCACTTTCGACCAATTTGGCGCTAGTATTGATAAATTATCTGCTGAAAATTTCCACTTGGCGCTACCAGCACTTAGTGTCTAGTGTAAGTTTTGCAACGCCAGCACCATCATGTTGTCAAAGAGGGTTTTTAAGTGGGGAAGTCGCAGTTAGTGGCGCTTAAGTCGAATAGGAATCTTTACAAAAGTTTTTAGAGAAATTCAACGTCTGTTCTCTGTGGCTATCTTATATCGAGCTCTTTTCAATAATTGCAACATGTGAATAATGCAGAGCAAGTTTAAAATTGTTCTAGAGCCAAATTGGTTTTGAATGAAGGTCAAACTACAAACAAACAGTTCAGCCGCTCTGAACCCTATGAAAATTATGCTTTCCTAATATGGTACATTCTCTCACTATAAACCTGTCATTCCTAACCTATCTGAACTATTTAATAAATGGAAACCATAACATGGGTTACGCTCCTCCTAAGCGGGCCCTCCGCATCCTATCTCTGTCTTATCTCAAATGCCAATGGTTTGAATGTATCAACACATTCCATGTGCTAGATGACGTTTCAGTAATAAATTTGTAATTTCCACAGCGTGCAGATTAACGGTTAACGGGGTTCAACTTAAAAACGATCAGATAACTGGGGGTCTACGGTATATAGTCAAGCAGCTTTAGTTTGTGAAGGATTGGATTTATGTTTGAATCCATGGAGAAAATCATGCATGCTGATATTGGAAAAATGCATCTTGGAGCAAAGGCATGCTCTTTGAAGACTGATCGAACGTTATGATATTTATCCGTACTGATTTTCAGAGCGACATGACGTTTGATTCTAATGTCATCGGATGTGATCCGATGTAAAATGTAACATTGTAATGACGTTTGATTCTAATGCAACGTTTAAAACTGATTTAGTTTTATGTACTTGAACGTCACACTGAGGTCTGAGTACATTAAGGATATACACGTTAAAATTTAACGTTTCGAAGATGTCTGCTAATGTTTTCAACGCTAGAATTTCTATTCGGGTGGGTAGCTACATTTTTCTAGAAAAAAAATCCGGAGAACTACAAGAGCAACAATTCTTAATTAATTCCCTACCAACTTTCTTAGACCATCAGTTTTTGACCAATTTCCCATCAACGGTCTACCAGTTCTCGTCCAATTTCCAACTAATTCTAAACTTATTTTTATTTGACGTTGCGAAAAGGCTTAGCAAAGGGCCTACCATTTCTGATGACAAGCACAACGGCTTAACAAAAAGGGCCTATCCATTGAAAGATTCACAAAAAAGGTTTATTAATTTATGAAATTATATTGTTATCGATTTTCATATATTTTTGAAAGATTTTCGCAAATTTTGGATGTTGTATACTGATACAGTTACTATTGTTATTGTGAACAATATAAATGCCTAAAATACTTCCATTTTCTTAAAAATGAATTGAATAGTGGCGGTCAAAATTTAAAATTCATTTTCTGGTTTGTTTACGTTTTGGACATAGGCTGTAAGTTGCGGCTTACTTGCCAGCCTATAGCTGGCCCGATTTACCCCGGCGGGGCGGCTACGAGCAGAGTACTTCCCCCAAAGATGTTCGGATTTGGATGGATTGTTAAAAAAGAAAGAAAAAATGCAATTTTAGACGTCTATTATAATCTGACCTTTCCCTATTTCTCCTCGTTTTCCTCGGTGTCACTCGGTGGGGCCCTTCGACGATAGCGGCGGCGGTTGCGGCTTGTTCACGTCGGCTCCAGACACGGACTGTGCCGAGCGTCTCCTACTTCACTTTAGCTGCGTAGCAGCGGTCCTTGGTGTTTAGCGGGGGGGATGAGCAAGGCTCCTTTATCGGAACCCCCTCGGCGACGATGGTGACGAATCACCGGACCAACTACTCGCCGTAGATGGTCCCGGTAGTCACCGCAGCGCACTACCCAGGCGAACGCTCCTTCGGTTCTGCCTGCTTCGTCCCTCCTTGGCTCTTACCTGCGGTGGCGAGACTGGCTCTACTGGCTGAGCCACCGCAGTGAGGACGGTGGGTGTTCGGGGATCCTTGGGGTTTAGCCGGGAAGCGGAAAAATCCTCGAAATTTAGCTTCCCTTGGCGGCGATCCGACACCCTTCACATCAGCTCACGAACCACGGCACTTTTCCAGGAAACGACGACACTTTCACGCGACGATGCTGGGAATTATCCCTCCAGCTGACACACGCCACGAAAACGGCACTCCAACTCTCGTTTTTACTGAAACGGACCGGGCAAAAAACCGCGTCGACTTCCAACCGTGGCTCGTAACTTTCTCTTCGCTGTACTACTTGACAATCACCGACAATACAACAACCGCCATCGTTCTCCTGCAACCGCGCTCGAATGTTGTGCTGGTTATGTTTTTCGCCTTATTTTGCAGCGGGAGGAGAAACGGGACCTAACTTCATTCTACACGCGAGACAATTTCAAACGATAATTTTTACACTATATTCTAATCCTAAAAACATGCCTACACGAATAAAATCTACGATGAAAATAACAAATTAAAATATTTACAAATAAAGCAGTGGTGAGTATGTTGCCGAGCGTGCGACCAAAACAAAAACAAATCATAACAGACAAGGCACACGCTCATGGCAAACACGTTAAAATGGTGGGTTATAAATTGTCACCCTAGACGAGGGTTACAAGGCCCATTTGAAATGTTACTCTAGAAATGCAGTAAATAGCATCATTATATTATAGAAATGTGCATGAGCTGCGAATTGAAAAAGCGAAATGGCTAATATTCTAATATTCTATAAAGGGGAAATGTCGGCTTCGGCAATACCTTAACCTATTATCGTCAGGGGGTAAACAAAGTCCTAGATCACTCAAATTTTGCCAATAGATGCTCTGAAACACAATGTATCCGATGTATCCACATGCCAAAATTAAGCTCGTATAAGGATGGGGGCGACCCCGGCGTAGTGGTTAACATCCATACCTCTCACGCCAAAGTCACGAGTTCAAATCTCACTCCCGGACAAGCCACGCATTCGTCTGTTAAAGTGACTATAATAATAAAAAAAGCTCGCAAGGACGTTGTTTACCCCCATGACGGTAATAGGTTAAGGTATTGCCGAAGCCGTGATTTACCCTAAATGAAAAACTGTTCAATATCCAGTTTTGGGAGCAACTTTTTCGAAATTTCAATCACAACGGCATGGTTTTCAATAGCATTTCTATCGATTATTAACGCTTTCGTGGTTCAATTGATTTATCGCTTTAAACATTTAAACCCCTTTTTAGTCAGAATTTTGTTTATTAGCCATATAAGCCAAATCTTTTATTTATGAGGTGTGTAAGCCCGTGAAAGCAAATCAAGCTGAACAATGCTTAGGTCCTCAGTAACGTTGATCGATCCTCTTCATCAACTTTCTCTTTCGTTAATAACTTTGATACTGAACCACCGACGAACCGACGTGACAGCTTCGTGCCCAAGACGCCATATTTAAAATACGTTAAACTCTACCGACATCTACTCATCGGATCGCGTCTCACCTCGTTTGACAGATCTGATCGCCCGTTTGAAAGTTCGAATCGTTCGTTTGACAATTCGAATTGTGGACAAACGAAATGCTCCTGTGGCATGTCGGTTCGTCGGTGACTGAACCGTGTCTTGTCGTGTTTGTCGTATAAAATGCTAGATGATAGCATGTTTGATTGAACGATCTGAGTGTATAAATTAGCTGGGAATGTCTTAACATGGCCGAGAGGATGCAAAGAGAAAGTCGACGACGAGAATCCGGCAATGTTACTTGGGACCTAATGCATTGTTCAGCTTGTAATGCCTACACTCTACGAGAACAGCGGTATGCTATTTCTTGCTGTATTGGTAAAGTTCCATGTGGAACAGAATGCTTGTCATCCTAAATGATTAGCCATAGTTTAAAACAATGTTAGCATTATTTGTGTTTATATTGTAGAAAATTCAATCTCTGCAGGAAACCTTGAACTTCTCTATCAATTTTGCTGCGACTGAGCCAAGAACTCCTTAAATACCGGGCTTATTTTTTCAATCACATCCTTATAGCCAACCAGTTCCTTCTTGCATGTGTCATACCAAGCCGCCACCTTCACATACTTGACCCGGTCAAAGCTGCAAAAGTCCAACGAGGTCACGCTGACGAAAACCGATATATCCGCAATGGTAAGATAGTCTGCTGCCACATATCGGGTTTTGGTCAAAAATGCTTCCAAAATTCCCAAGGCTTCCTGGACCTTCTCGCGATTTTTCTCTGTCCTGTCCAGGGATTCGCTATCCCACAGGGGAGAACAGTAGGTGTAGAATCGCGAGTAGAGCATTCCCAAGTCGAAATCCAACCGACTGTGAATGAGCCCACGCATCTTGGCATCTTTTGGGTACAGCGGATGTTCGCCACAAATGTTGGCAGCCTTCAACTCCATCAAGTAGACCATGATGGCACGTGATTCAGGCAGTGAGTAGTCGTCGCCATCTACCAACGTGGGAACCGCGTGTGCTGGGTTAATCTGTCAGAGATTCGTTGAAAAATTATAAGTTATTTGTTTAACTGATAAATATTATGCAAACATACCTTTAGGAAATCCTCCTTCAGGTGTTCTCCGGCATCGTAGTCGATTTCCTTCAAGTTCAAGGTTATACCGAGTTGAAGGCTTAACAGCTGCACCGTCCAGCATGGCGGAGAAATCGGTATGTAATATAGATTCATGATGGGTCAACGACGTCTGAACTGCTGAAACTGGTTGCGTGGCTAGTTGGTATTGTGTGGCTTTTATATTTATATCGTAAAGCGATAACGATGAGATAAGACAATTTCGGTCTGCATGAAATGATAAACGTAATATTTATTGTTCAGAAGTACGGTGCTAATTTTGGGTATTAAACAATTACAATGACATATATTTTTGAAGGAAATGTTAATCACTTTAAACCGAAAACTAAATTTCTAACGTAAATGCATTTGAGCGACAAAATTGAGTATGCAACATTGCAACAATCCTTGGATTCCCATAATACCCATCAAAATCATGATTGATTACTTGTTATCACACTTATTGGTGAAAGGGGGCACTTGATTAGGTGTTTCCACAGACAAACGTACTAGCACCAAGTTTAAGTAATAATCGGGAAGCACCAGATAATCAAACTCATCTCCTTTTATCACTGTCAATATATATTGGATATGTTCGACAAGACGTGCCCTTAAAACGGTCTGTTAGATCGTATATAAGCTGTATCCACCTCGCGATTACCAACGAGTCTACTTCGATCAGTCAAAATGGATCTCTACTACCACATCATTCCTCCGCCGAGCCGTGCAGTTCTAGTTTTGGCCAAAATGTTAAACATTAAGTTGAACCTGATTTCCATCGATACGAGAGATCCCAGCGAAATGGACATCTTGACCAAGGTAATTGTAATTTCAAATCAACAAGTCTTCAACATTGAACAACTTTCCAACTTCCAGGTCAATCCCCTGCAATCGCTCCCGACTTTGATCGACGATGGACAAATCGTGGGTGAGTCCCACACTGTTCTCATCCACCTGACTACCCAGTTTGACAAGAAAGGTACCCTCTACCCACCCGATCTCAAGATCCGCTCGGCCATCAACGAGTGTCTCTTCTTCGACACCAACATGTACAAATGTTTCGTGTCCTATTCGATGCCAACGGTGATCAAACGTCAGGAACCGAACCAGGAACTGCTGGAAAAACTTCTCGTTTGCATCAGAGCGCTGGATGTCTACCTGAAGGGTCGCACCTACGCCGCCGGCAATAGGTTCACCCTAGCCGACCTGTCCCTGGCCCACACCATAGCATCGCTCGAGGTAATCAAGGTCAAATTGGCTGACTTTCCAAACATCGAACGCTGGCTGCAAAAGGCACTTTCCGAGATGCCCGAATTCGGAGAATTGCATACACGTGCCGAGGAAGCTTTGCATACGTTCCTCGCTAAGCAATATGGAGCCAACCGTGCTTAAGCTTCAAGCGCTTTTCCCTTAGTGTGTATGGGATGACGTCAACCAGCAGCAAGGCAGTGACATGATTTGCTCTTTTTTTAATAATTTTATCTACAAACGATGCGGAATGAAGCTGAACATTGCATTAGGTCCTAAGTAACATTGATCGATTCTCTTCGTCGACTTTCTCTTTCGTTAATAACTTGATCACATATCCGTTTCTTAATGTGTTTGTCGTATTAGATGCTAGATAAAAGCTTCTTTTATCGATCTGTGCTGAAAATACCTGGGAATGTCTTTACATAGCCGTGGGGATGCAAAGAGAAAGTCGACGAAAAGAGTCTGTCAATGTTACTTAGGACCTAACGCAATGTTCAGCTTGAAATTTCAATTTTGGTGTTTCAATAGAGTTCTCCAGATGCACAAAAGTGATCGTGAGACCGCGTGCTACCTTTTTAAGCGTTGTGATATCGCGATACCTTTTTGATTATTCTTCTTCTTCATTTTTATACATGGATGTTCGTGGGATTGCGCTTGGAGATCTCTATAATAAATGTATTCGATGATTTTCTCCTAACAATATTAACTTCAGTAAATGTTAATATGTTTTTCAAGAATTATTCTCCCGTCACTTTTCATGTATACCACGATTCTCTCTTTCGTTAATAACCGTAATGGCTGTAATAACCCGACTCCAAGCCCGAAATATGAATGCAGCCAAATTATTAATGAAAGAGACAGTCGTTGAAGAGAATCGATTAATGTAGATTGGTCTAATGAAAGGTGACGCGAGAATTTCACAATGTTGCTGTATTTGTATTAACTAGCTGTAAGACGGAATATTAATACACATTAGTATACATATAATTTGTTAATTAATACCAATAAGTCCATAGACATTGCCACACAATTTAAAAGTACAATAAATGGTACATGCTTATTAAGCTTTCACTTAAGGTGATTCCTTGTAGAGCCCACAAATGGCCGCCACGTAGTAGGCTATACATGCACCTCCACTTCGAATTTTCAAGTACATACACAAATCTCGGAAATCAGTGCCCCATTTTTTCATTTGAAATTGCTACTTCATGCATGCTGCATTTGCTCGAGACGAGGGCGAGGCAAAGAAGAAGAGGGACAAACAAACAAAACCGATCGAATCCGCTTATTGTACGGATCCAAGCTAATTTTTTTCAAATAAATTTGAGCAACATCGTCTGCAATTTCGAGCTGCACCAACACCACTTTCGTCTCGATGATAACCTTGAAGCCAACCTTTATTGATTATTTCCAAAAATAATTCGATCCCAAATTTTAACACCACGAGTTTTTACGCAAATGGATTTGATTTGATTTAGTCTTGTACATACTTGGTCTGCATACGTTTTTCTTCTACATGTAGAAACTGAACAGGAATGAACAGGACCATTTGCGAAATATGTGACGGTTGGTAATTTTATTGGATTGATTAAATGACACTAATTTAAATTGATTAAACGACACACATACACACACACACATGAAACTTGAGCCCCGGAATATCTTTTTTGGATCAGATCGGAATTTTGCCTGTTCCTGGAGTTAGGACAAATTTTAACAGCAATGCCATAGCCGAAAAAAAATATTCTCATATTTTGGCAATCCGGAAGCCGCCATATTAGCAAGCACATAGAATATTTCACTCAGAAAAAGTAAATAGCATTGCAACTAACAACCGCAGCATGCTGTTAACAGTTGCTGTTTTTGTGTAATGTTACACTTATTTTTTCTCTTGATTGGTAACAATAAATCATAAACATAAAAAGAAAAGCACGTATTGAAACTCACCCTCGAAGCCTTTAAGATATGAATGGTTGGCCGGCTCGCTTGCCGGGCCGGGTGAAGGTCAACAATATTGACGTTGCCACCGGTGCTATTACTCTTTACTCCTATAGGAAAATTCAATTAACTGCTGTCATTCTCTGTGTGAAACATGCCGGTCTGTTCCTTACCCTTTCGCTCCACTGAAAAATCCTATTAGCAGCTACCAACACAACGGCTACCACTCTGCAATGAGTACAGAGAAAGGTGGAGCAGAATCGTCCAATGCAGTTGTATACACTGTACCAAAACATCTTTCGTTATTTTTTTTCTTTTCCCACAAGAAAAAGTGGCTGGATGGCGATTTGTTTATTCGACTCAGCTAAGAAAACAGTTTCTTCGGTTAAAATCTCTGTCGCGAAGTAGAACTGACGTGGCGCGTTTGACGTTAAGAATATTTAAAGAATATTCGGTTAAGTTTACCGAGTTTTCTCAGTTTTCACCTCGGTTTTCACCCTGGGTGCCCTAATAAAAATAACCATAAAAGAGAGCTTAACGACGTGTTCGGGGTATCATCCAAACCATTTGTGCGATAGTTTACCCATCCGGGATACAGTTCGTTTATTTTATTTATTTATTAGGGTGGCTACACACAAAAAACAAAATTGTTTCAATAAAAACCATGCATTTTCAAAATAAAAGTTTCTCAGCTTTGATAGTTTTAAGCACGAAAATTCTCAAAATGAAAGTATTCACTAGATAAACATTTCAAAAGGTCCTATCTGCATTGATCGATTCTCTTCATCGACTTTCTCTTTCGTCAATAACTCAGTTGCAAAACCTTTCCCTGTTGTATTTGATGTTTTGGACGCTAGATAAGAACCTCCTTTATCAATGGGATGGTCCATTAATTATCTCACGCAAATTTGGCTCATTTTCATACCCCACCTCCCCTATTTGTCACATTTTTTGTATGGACCTTAATTTTTTTTTGTATTGCTCGTCACAGTTTTCAAACCCCCCCCCCCCTGCCCCCTAAATGTGTGACATAATTAATGGACGACCCAATGTAGTAGAATGAACGCGAAATCTATTTGCATAGCAGTGGTTATGAAAAGAGAAAGTCGATTAAGAGAATCGATCAAAGCAGATAGGACCAGGGGGTGGAAACTAACGATTTTAAACTGATTCACTGCTTGAGTAGCCTATTGGTCCCAAGTACTTCTATGGCGTACCCCATTCTAGTTGAAATTCTATTACTACACTATGTTTGTTTTGATTCGCTATGAAAGTTTGACAGATAACATCAGGGGTGTGTGGATTCATGCAGAACATGCAGGGGTGAGTGAAATAGCTTGGGACTGCTTGGGACCGTTGTTCTGGTACTGAGTGAGCCAAAAATAATAATGATTTTCTTCGGGACCCAGTGGTCTTAGAGTTACCTCTATGATAGGACCATGTTATTTCAACTATAACAAACTTTCATGACAAAAGTTTGATTCGTTACAAAAATAATCCACTTTTAATTATATAACACTATCATGCTTTTCATTTGAAAGTTTCAACTTTTAAAAGTAGCATGCGTGCAACTTTTGAATGACAGCTAAGCCGAGTTAAGCTGACTTTTGTTTTGAAAGCTTCAGGCTTTCTACCAAAAAGAACCAACCAAAACTTTTAATTCTACCAAAGGTTTTTTTCATTTTTACTAACGATAATTTTGTGTGTGTATGAAGTTCGCTCATCCATCATCACAAAAACCACGCAGGAACGAAAATCGATAGAGCTGATAATGAGGTAAATTCTACACAGTGTTTTAAAGGAGCCAACTCTACGAGCACCCACACCAATGCGTTGCTATTCGGGCTGCTAGTTTGACAACTTCACCCATTGCTATTTTAGTTAGCAACTTGTTTACGCACCGGTCGTTGGTATCACGATTGTGAATTTACGTTTTCGGGTTTCGCACCGATAATTGCTAAAGTTATCGTCGAACTTCGAACTGAAATTGATCACAGAGTTTCGTGACTGTTTTTTTTCTCGATAATATTGATATACCTAACTACGAAGACTGAAGATTGAAAGGTAAGATTCAACTACTGACCCAGGTACTCAAGAAAAGGTCCACCGGAAGATCCGAATAAGACAGCGATTTTTTTTAAATCACTTGTTGTGATGCTACATGAATAAATTTGAATCTAGGACCAGAATGCGCACACTGGTGGTCACGAAACTGTCCTCTGGGAGATCCGAAACATCCATAAAAGCGGTCAATTCGTAAAAATGATCGAAATATCGATCTTCGTGTGCTCATCTTATAAAGGTTGCGCACCAAAATGCATGAAGGCATTTTTGGATGTCCACATTACTACACACAAAGAAAATTCATTAGCTAAATTAAAAAAGTCGTTGGTGAAATTAAAAGTTTGCATTGGTTCTTTTTGGTAGAAAGCAGAAACATTTTAAAGTAAAAGCTTCCACGTTCTTAAATCAAAAACGTCACTTATTCATATTTTTAAAAGTCGGAACTTTTAAACCGAATTGTAGAAATGTCAAACTCAAAATGTAGGACTGTCGAGGTAATTCTTGAAAGATTTTAATTCAAAAACAAGTATGTCTAATATTAAAGCTTCCATTTTCATTTTATAATCGATTTTATATGCTTTTAAATATTTCTTGAAAGTTTTTAACAACAGATTGAAAGATCCATAAACATGTTTATTAACATCAATAGCTGTTATTTTACATTTAATATCGTAGCTATGCTATGATGCTATTCCAGAGCTGTCTGCCAGTAAGAGTCAGAGAGTCAACGTCGGCGGATTATCTCTGGAAATGGAATGGGTTTCCGCTCCGGCCAATTAACATCCGTCACCCATGACATTTGAGTTGAGCAGTTTCTGTCTATCTCGGCAGCGGCACGGTTGACTTTCTTGACATGGTTAGTTAGCAAAAAACGAAGGATGAAGCACCGAAGACGGTCGTCATCCCGAAAAACCCTTTTTGGTCAGAACCGAGGGGGGCGACACATCTAAATCTCAAGTTAAGATGGTCAACAAATCTCACACTAGCGAATCAATCTTCGAGCAATCTTCTTTCATTTGTCGCATCTACTTGCATCGCTCATCAATTTTTTGCAGGAAATCTTCAGAATCGTCATCAATCTTCTTTCTATCTACTCAGCGTGCGCGCAGCTAGCCACAGCAAAACACAATCATTTTTGCATCGTAGATAGAGTCGTCCCCCTCGGTCAGAACAGAA